CGGGACAATGCACAGGGGGGGCCCTGCTCGGCCCTGGCTCAGAACTGCTGCCCCGGCCGGGCCCAAGGGGCCCTGGGGGAGAACAACCCTGAGCCCCAGCTGGGCCAGAGCCACCCAGTTCTGCCCAGTGGGGCCCAGGTCGCTCCCAGCACGGGCCCAGAGTCTCCCAGTAACCCCCAGCATGGGCCCAGTCACCCCCAGTAGGATCCCAGTCACTTTCAGTCACTCCCAGGATGATCCCAGTCACTCCCAGTACAATGCCAGTCTCTCCTAGTAGCATCCAAATTACCCCCTGCATGGTCCCAGTTGCTCCCAGTCACCCCAGGAGAGTTCCAGCCACTCCCAGTATGGATCCAGTCACCAGCAGTATGATCCCAGTATGTCCCAGTCACTTCCACTACCATCCCAGTCGCTCCCAGTAGGAATCCAGTCACCGCCAGTATAGTCCCAGTTGCTCCCACCCACCCCCAGTATGGCTCCAGTCATTCCCAGTCCATTCCATTAGGATTCCAGCATGAGCCCAGACACTCCCTATCTGGTCCCAGTCACTCCAGTATGAACCCCCTCACTCCCAGTTACTCTCATTAAGATGCCATTTGCTCCCAGCACGGTCCCAGTTCCTCCCAGTCACCCAGGATGGTTGCAGTCACTCCCAGTATGATTCCTCTCACTCCCAATCTCACCCAGTATATCCCAGTCATCCCCAGCATGTGTCCAGTCAGTCCCACTATGATCCCAGTCACTCCTGGTCTCTCCCAGTTGCTCCCAATTTCCTCCGTGTGGTCCCACTCATTCCCAGTTGTCCCTAGTAGCTTCCAGCATGATCGCAGTTCCTCACAGCCACTTCCAGTCATCCCCATTGCACTCCCAGTTGCTCCAGTAACATTCCAATTTCCACCAGTATGATCCCAGTGACTCCAAGGCACTCCCACTATATCCTATGTGGCCTCCAGTCGCTCCCAGTAGGCCTTGGTGCGGTCCCAACATGTTCCCAGTATGATCCCTGTTGCCCCAGCTCTGGTCCTGGAGGGTCCCAGTGTGCTCAGATCCTGCTCCTGGGGGGTCCTGCTGGGTCCTGGTCCTGGTGATCTCGGTGTCCCAATCCATCCCAATCCATCCCAGTCCATCCCAGTCCATCCCAGTCTGTCCCAGTCCATCCTAGTCTGTCCC